TACAAGTTTTATTGTTCTGCATTAGCATTTTATAAAATTTACACACATACATACATACAAAAAAAGCTTTTATTTGTTCAAAGAAAATGAAAAAGATTCATGTGTCACAGGTGTATATTTACCAGTAACAAGTCAAACTGGATCCTCCCTTCCGTATTAATAAATTTGTTTTCACGTCTGCCCATCTGCTTTGATTGAATCATCGAATTTTTGATAACTGATGCTCTGTTTATTACTCGTCCAAGGAATGGAAAAGGTTTCACATTAAGCGTCTTGGCTCGGTTTATAAGGTACGTTATATCAAAATTCTGGATGTTGTAACCAGTAATGATGTCAGGGTCAACTTCTCGTACAAAATCTGCCCATTTCTGTAACATGCAACAAAAACGTTAATTTTCTCTAAAATAACTAGTTTAAAAAAAAAAAATGAGTTGATTACAACTCATTGATCAAAATCACAAACGTTTTTAGATCAACCCAACATTTATTTTCCAAAAATGACTTGCTCCATCAAAAATGTATTGATGTCAGTCAACTTTGCATGAAATAATGGTCAAGTCTTATCGTGTCAACATTTTTGAGACAATCATGTCCAACAAATTCTAAGGATTAACTGTGCAATTACTCTGACCCTTATTAAACAAAGAATAAGTACATCCACCTTTCTTTTGTGTTGATTACAAAGTTTTGGAAATGCTGGTGTAATGTTATAAGTTAATATATACTATCTGTCCACACTTCATCTTTTATATTGTGACCCCAACAGATTCACTATCTGTCCACACTTCATCTTTTATATTGTTACTCCAACAGATTCACTATCTGTCCACATTTTATCTTTTACATTGTGATCCCAACAGATTCACTGGGGAAAATTGTACCTACCTGTTTTCAACTTTGACCTTGATCTTCTATCACATCCCACACTGTCCTAATTAACTAAGTTCCTCTGTTTCTGGGATTCACTCGATGAGAATGCCTTACTTTCTGGAGTCATCTACCACAATCTTTTCTTGATGATTTCTGTGTGATAACCTTTATTTTGGGAAAGTTCCTGTTACACTGTAAACAAAATTGGAACTGAAGCAGCTTGTCAGCAGTCATCTCTCCTTACTTTGTTTTTCTGCTTTGCTTGGTACAAGTATATTTTTCATTAATGAAAACAAGTAATAACTACAACACGTATAGCATTTTAACGTGGATCCGTGTGTTACATCTCGTCACTTAACTCACTCTTTTATTCATGTGGAAAAAAGGGGGATGTTCAAGAAACAATATTAATATAAGGGAGAATCTGTTGGGGTCACAATATAAAAGATGAAGTGTGGACAGATAATGAAAAAGCTGACAAAGATTAGCAGACTGAAGCCGAGAGAGAGAGAGAGAAACAAAGAATCAGAAAGAAAGAACCCCAAACTGGAAGAATAGATTGAAATTAAAGGAAAGAATCAGAATATTGAGGTCTTGAAAGATAAGGCAGTTGGGTTTTGGTACCAAGATAAAAAGGAGTCAACATGATAAAAGTATCAAGGGAAGACAGACAGAAGGAGGAGGAGGTTCATGCTGCAATGTAGCCCATGATTCAGCAATAAATGAATGGAGAAAGACAAAAGAATCACATACCTTCGTAAACAAAGCAGCAAAGGATGAAGATGAGGTTATATGTTTTTTGTTGGGACGGAAAGACCCAAAAGCTATAAAGTTGGTGGGAATTGTAGAACAAAATTGTCAAAAGGCAATGCAGGCTAAGCTGATGTAACAGAAACTGGACGTCAGAAATCTACCATTCCAAGATTAGAGTGGAGCCAACCACATGTCAGAGTTCCTCCAATCACCACCGAAACTGTAAACAACAATTCTGGTTGTGGAGTGTCAGGACTTCAGGAGATTTCAGAATCCAATGAAACCATTTAATTAATCTTTAAAGGAGGTCTGGATGTCTATGGTATATATGCCTTGGTTTGTCATAAACGATGACATTTGAGTTTAATTACTGAAACCCAAACTATGGATAAATAAGAATGGGGGAATAGAGCTGTCAAAGAAACCATATCACATATTGTTT